GTCCACCCTTGGCTCTGGTACCTGGGTCTGTCTACCTGCCAAGAGGCAGACGCCTTGTTGCTCAGACTTGGCACAATGTGTGGCCGAAATTTAAGGCCCCCACCATGCTCTCTCTACCTACCCTCCCTGCCGGGCACAGCGCAGGTGCTCACTAACTGTCCACCTATTAAGGCCTGGCTGCACACAGTGTGTGGCACGGGCGGGGAGTGCTGGGGTGCTCAGAGGAAGTGAGAGTCCCCGGGCTGGGCTGGGGACTTCCTGGAGGAAGCATTTGGGATGATCCTCCACATGTCAGTCCTAACACAGAAGTTGAGGACAGGCCACAGGAAGTCCCCAGCCAGCCTTAGGGCCATCAGGGCAAACCATCAGAGTGGGACCAGAGTCTGAAATGAGGGAGATTCAGTGACCAGAGCCAAGGACAGGGCCACTGGAGGGGCTGGTGGTGCATTTGGGGAAGACTTGCTGGAGGAGGGGCTACTTCTGGCTGGTTTGGGGCAGGGGAGAAGGTGGAGATGAAGCAGGTTGGAGACAGAGATGTGAAAGAGAAAGCTCTGTTCCTTCTTGTCCTTTACGCCTTAAAGGAAAGGGAGGTGGGATTCGGATGGGCAAGAGGAAAGAAAGAAGGCCAAGGCGGCATGGAGCTAACATCAGTGCTGACACCGTAGCCAGGGTGGGTATGGGTGGCTGGGGCTGGCAGGGAGCAGGTTCCCAGCTGTGGTTGGGAAACATTTCCTGTCTCCTTGCCAGGGGGGTCATTAATAATCATTTACCCTCCACAGGCAGCACGGAGGCTAGCCAGGGAGCAGCATGGTGCTGGGGCCGGAGCCCAGCCTGGCAGCCAGGAGAGCTGTATTTTAGGACCAGCCCTGCCACCTTGCTGTGAAACCTGGACAAGTCACCTGGCCACTCTTGGTCTCTGGTAACACTGGTCAAAGGAGGGTCTTAAGAGGAGGCTCCCTAAAGATCTCCCTGCTCTGGGCCTCAGTTTCCCTAGATGGCAGCGGGGCTGCCACCCCTACAGGGGGTTAGAGACCTCTGATGATCAATATAAGCATCTATGTTGAACCTAGCTCAGGACACATGGGATGGGCAGACCCAGCCCAGCCTCTCAAGAGCTCGAATTCTGGCAGGAGCCAGACCCCAACACCATGGGATGCATGCCTGGAGCATATCATGTGCATGTCAGGCTGCGGGAAACAGAAGGGAGGGCCGTCTGCCCAAGGCCTGAGGGGCTGACAGTGTGGCTGGGCCATGAAGATGGGGTTTCTTAGACACAGAAAATGGGAGTCCCATGAGGCCTATTTAGTCACTGCTATGACTGCAGCACTTAACACTGTGCCTGCCTGGTGCATAGCAGGTGCTCAATAAATGCTTTCAGACAATAGAATGAGCTCCTGTTAAAGGAGACATTTGTGAAAAGAGCTTGGAATTTGGAAAGAGCTGCCTAAACGGTGATGATGAAGATGATGACAATGATGATTCTGCCCAAAGACAACAGGATGGGAAAAGGTGACATGAAAGCTTGAGAAGGTAGGAGGCTCAGGGATGGCAATTCAAAACCAGACAGTATTGCTTGGGAATGATCAACAGCCTTCAAGATCCCTTCTTCCAGTTGGGCTAGAATTTTCCTCAGCCTCAGGCCACATTTCTCTGCCCATCCAACACCCCCTTCAAGGCTCAGCTCAAGCCCACTCACTTCAGAGAACCTTCTGGAATGTGGTGCTGAGGCATTGGCCCTGAGCCCCTTCCCCTGACTGACTCTGATGGTCTCTGTGCCTTCCAACCACAAGGAGTCCTGGCCTTTCGTGCTCTCAAGTCCTTGTTGGAAGACTGTCCACTAAGGTTTCCCCATGACCTGGATCCTCCTACTGGGTCCATCAGACTAGAGGGTCCCTAAAGATGTGATCTGGCTTCGTTTTTCAGAAAAAGGTCTCTGTGAGGAAAGCAACTATCCCCCCATCAGATATGGGGTCAACACAAGTGGAGATAGATTGAGCTCTTCCTGGTTGCCTCCCAGCCCAGTGACCCTCTCTGGGCGCCACACAGAGAAGGGAAGAGAACTGGGCAGCATGCAGAAGGGGGCACTTGGCTTCTCAGCACCCCAGAGATGACATGAGAAGGAAGGGCACTGGGCCACACTTGGGACTAAGACATCATGGTTGGCAAACTTGCCTAACTCCCAGCCCAGCCCCAGCTGCTACTGCGCCAAGGAGGCGCCGCCGGGGATACCACCCAGGCCTCAGTGCCTGCGCCTGGACCCCCACCCTCTGCGGAGAACCATGAGGTGGTAGTAAACACAGTGAGACTGAGACACGTGCATCCTCTCCCCGCCCCTTCCAATCCCGGCCCAAAACATGAGACAGGCTAAGAGGAAAAGAACAAAGGTTCCAGGACCTCCACGTCGCCCGCCGCCCGCCTGTCCAGCGCCTGTTCAGCCGGAAACCCAAGACAAAGGCCTTGGTGAAAGCGAGGAGGATGAAGGGCAAAGGGTAGAGGCAGCCTGGCTTGGGCATCTCAGGGGACCTAACTGGGAGGGAAGCGAGAACAGGATGGCAGCCAAGCCTTCCCTGCACACACACGTCACTCCACAAACATTTATGGGACACCTGCTGTATTCTGCACACCCGAACATCACATACCTCATTCCTCACCCCACACACCTTATACACCCACTCCCTCACCTCCTGCAGCACCTTCCACAGCCCTCCAGCCCCCCCCTCCCCATACATACCCTAGCTAACTGGATACCCTTCACATGTAAACAGCTCACAGGGAGAGAAGATCACATAATCCACGTGTCACACCGAAAAGCCATCCAGCTCACACACCCACACTTCACGCCACACTCACACTCAACCTCCCACGCGCACCTCACACACCCGACACTCACCTCTCCAAGCACAGACACACAGTTCCAATTAAATTCAATACACACACATCACCTAGACATAGAGACACACCCTGCATAGATAATGTGCACACCTAATGTCACACCAAAATGTCAAATGTTTGCGGGCACACACAGCTCCTTAGCACAGACAGTCCTGCCTGCACACTGCCTCCTCCCCACATGTACTTGGGCATGCACACACACACACACACACACACACACACACACACACAGTCAACAAGTCCTTGCCTTGGCCCCCTGGACCCTGGCTGCTGCACACTTTCCTACCCAGAGCTGTACAAACAGTCATCACACAGACACATGACACTCAAACACCAACACACAGGTCCCAATATATTTCCTGAGCAACTCCAGGATGTATAACTCGGTGACTCGAAGCCAGTCACCTAGGCTGCAAACCCACTCAGACACAGCTCTCCCACCCCCACTCCCCTCTACAAAGACATCCAATGAAACCTTTCATCAGACCCCTCCAGCGGCTCTTCCCGGTTACACACAACAGTCCATAACACACACAAATACACACACAATCCCCCATGTAAGCTGCCCCTACAACTACTCCACCCCACGATGACACACAGCCATGTACACATAAGTTCCCCCCACACACAACAGTCATACGTACATCTACCACTCCACACTCACAACTCGGCCTCCCTAGCTGCACACGCCATGCAACGCCATTACACTCACGGTCCTCACACTCAGCATAAGCTCCACAGATCCCCCCAATAATCCCACCGCTGATGACACACACAATACTACATGACACAACACACAGGATCACACACAAGGCACACCCAACACACACAACCCAGCTCTTCCTACTCAAACACATACCACCCAGACTCGCCCAGCCCTGGACACCTCCCACCACAGGTGACTGACACCAGGTTGCAGGCTATTCCTCCCCTCCCTCATCCCAAGCCCCTGGCTTCCCAAGTCCAGTTCAGCAGGGATGAGGGGGTTTATAAGTTATGAACCCCAGTGCCCCACTGCACAATCCCCACCCACCTTAAATCCCTCGGTACCGCCCAAGGGCTGCTTGCTCCATGTTTAGCCCCTTCCACCAGCACCCACACCATGCCATGCCTGACAACAGGGGAGGGGGAGAGGTCCTGGGGACACCGGTGGGGCATTCTGAGCCTGTCCCCTCACCACCCCAAAGTAGAGGCTGATATAAGGGGAAGAATGACCACAGGGAAAGGCCCTAGAACAAAAACAGAAACCTAGAGAAACTGGGAGAGTGATGGGCAGACTGAGAGAGGGGGGCACGTGGGCAAAAGAGACCAAACAAGAAAGAAATAGAGGGGCAGAGGGAGAAGATGCCCAGAAAGACTCAGAGGAGAAACGGGGACCACCATACCCAGAGAGAGACAAGAGGAGAGGGTGAGACAAGCCGGAAAAGGCTAGGATCTTCTATACAGGAGGGAGGAGGGAAAGCAGGAAGAGGGTGGGAGGGGGATCCTGCAGAGAAGGATAGACAAACTATAATGGAAAGAGGCATTTGGACCCTGGGTGGGGTCTGGTGTGAGGACTGAAGTCCAGGTGTTTGAGTGGGAATCTGGGTGAGGGCACAGATGAGTCTGTGGAGTCGGGGTTCAGGGGCTTGAGATGAGGCCCCAGCTCTGAGGGGGGGTCCTGGTTGAGAGTCGGGGGTTCAGGTGTTCTGGGTGGGCCTGGAGTCTGATAAATATATTGGGGGTCCAGGGCTATGGGCAGGGGTCCTCCACTAATCTGGGAGGCAGGGGGTTCCAGGCTCAAACAGAACTCTTGGGTGTGGACAGGGGTCCCATTGTGGATTGGGAGTTCAGTGCTTGGGGGTGGAGTCCCAGATCTGAAAAGGGTTCAGAGTCTGGCGTGAGGTTTTGAACTGTGAGCTAAGGACTCAATGTCTCTAGGGTACGGGCTACAGTCCCAGCACAGAACTGGGATTTTCAGCTAGGGGAGGGGTCCCCACCCTAGGAGGGTTCAGGGATGGGGTAGACCATGGGACCGGCGACAGCACGCTCCGCGGAGGACCCGGCCTGGCGCTCACCCAACACCCCGTTCCCCTCGTGCCCAGAGCCGGGCGGGGGGGGGGCCCTACCTGCAGGCTGTCGGCGCATGGCTGCGGCGGCGGCGGCTCGTCCGGCTTGAGGAAGACCTGCTGGCCCCGCCTGAGGAATTGGACAACAGCGATGAGGATGTGGTGCAGCACCAGGACCATGCTCGCAGCCGCCCGCCCGCCCGCCGGCCTGGCCGCTGCGCTTGGCCAGGGCGTCCGCGACGGCTTTGCCTGATCCGCGCGAGTGTCCGCCCTGGCCCCGCCCCGAACCGCCCACTTCCCGCCCCCCGACCGCCCCGGCCCCGCCCACCTTCCGCAACCCCGGACAGCACCTCTTAGCTCGTCCAATCTTCCCGCCCCCACCAGAGCCCCCGACCAGCTCTCACTTCCCTTATCTCTCTGCTCTCAAGATTCTTCCAGCTTGTGCGCTATTAGGATCCCCCGCCTGATAGCCTGATCTCAGCCTTCGCTCCCTTCTCTTGCCCCTTCGCCACTCCTTTCACTACCTCTCAGGGGTCGTCTCTCTGAGCCTCTCTCCTGATCACATCCTCTCTCCCCACCACTTACTTAATAAAGTCCTGGAGCCAGGCTACAGTCCCACGGCAGAGACCAGCGCAGTGAGGGGGCGGCGGGGGTGCGGTCCGGAGGGGCAGATAGATAGAGGGGAAGGGACCGCTGGCACGAACAAGGAGCCCTGGGCTTGCTCTTCTTCCAGGAAAAAGGGGGAAATTTCAGAGGTCGCTCCGAGTCTGACAGGCCCTGGAAGCAGTAGCAAATCTGGGAGGGAGACACGTGCGCACTGACACGCGAGCGCACACACAGGCGCACCATTCCCAAGTTGTGGGTAGGGGCACTGGGCCTCCAGCACTGGGCAGGCAGGTCTGCGTTGGCATCCCCGCAAGCCAGAGAGGGTGCAGGCCCCAGGGCCACACAGTCCACAGCTCCGCGGTGGGACTTGCGAGCCCGAAGCGCAGTTCACCGCAGAGCGGCCTCTGTGCTCAGGCGCCCGCTGCAGCCGTGACGCTCCTGCGCCCCCTGCTGTCCCAGCGCGGCGGCTCAGCCCGGCCCGATTTGCCATCTGCGCGGGAGGGGCGGGTGTCGGAGGGGAAAGGGGTCAACTGGGCCAGCTCCCTGCCTGGACCCAACCGGTTCCTAGCCTCCGCTTGGCATGAGGTCGGCTGGGGCGGTGGGACGTGTCTGGACTGGAGGGTGCTCTTGGGTGTCTCCTGGCCATTGCCGGCTAGCTACTTACTTTATGACCTTGGTCAGATCCCCTCCCCAGTTGGTTTCTGGGCTTTCGTCTTCCCATCTCTTTCACAAGACTGCCGGGAGAATCAACCCCACAATGGTGTGAAGGCAGCCAGAGTCCCCTGACAGCCCTCGCTGTGGTCTGACCTGAATCCTTCCCATGTACTGCGGTCCCCTCTCTCTGCAATTCTCCCCTTAACCCTCACCCGCCACCCCTCTTGGAGGGTGACTCAGTGACCCTCCAGCTTCCCAGCTCCCCACCTCACTGGGCTGATTCATCTGGGCCCTTTCTCCCTGGGGAGTGATTTCCTCAAGGTTGAGTCATTGAGCCCAGTCCTGGGCACAGTCCAGGCACCTGGCACACAGGCTAGGCAGAGTCCTAGCTGTGTCACAGCTCAGGGGGAAGCCCTCCATGCCAAGAGTTCTCCCACCTCTCTTTCTGAGGGCCAACTCTGAACAATGCCTCTTCCCCTGCTCACACACCTTTAGTGACTCCCTACCATCAGCACAATAAAGTCCCAACCCTCAGCCTGACACGGCAAACCCTCTATGACTTAGCCCCAACTTGTTTTTTCAGCTTTGACCCTCTTGCCACCGTTCCTTAAATTTATACTTCCTGCTCTACTCAGATGCGTGACTGACTCATTCTCACTTTCAGGCTTTTACCCAGCCACCCCAACCCTAATGTCCTCTAGATCCTATCAGCCTGCTTACCTTTCAGGGGCCAGTCGGAGGCCCACCTCCTCCAGGAGGCCTTCCCTGGATGCTACCTCAGCCCTCTGGGTCCCCCTTCTTGCATCTTTCCTAAGCGTCATGTCTGGGGGCAATTTTACTGCATCTTATTTTACTGCATCTTCAAATTGGGGGCAATTTGTCCTACTTACTAACACTGTAGAAAACATTACATGGGCTAAGATAATGTAAAGGTTCTGGCCCAGAAAAAGGCCTCCCTTCTCTTCTTTTGGCCTCAGTTTCTTGCTCTGTAAAGGGAGTGACCAATGTAAGGGCTATTATAAGGACTGAGTCTGAGGCCAGTGCACAAATCTCTTGGTAAATCCTGAGCATCTGTCATCAGCTCAGTCTTGGGCTCCGGATATGCGGGTGGGACAAAGGCATCCAGGAGGCATCTGTTACAGCCACTCGCCAGAGGCGTTTGTTCTTCAGGAGAGGCCATCTCAGACCTCACAGTCAAGGGCCAACCCTGGCCTGGCACGGCCAGCATCTCTTGGGCTTTAACATTTGCTGAGCACTTACTCTGTGACTCACAGTTCATCTTCTCAACAACACTATAAGGTTGGACCCATTATTAGCCACATTTTACAGATAAGGAAAACTGAGGCACAGAGAGACTAAGTAACTTGCCCACAGTCACACAACTAATAAGTAGTAGAGCCAAAATTCAAACCCAGGCCATCTGGCTCCAATCTGTGCTTTATATTCATTCTCTGCCTTTTGAGGAAAGGCATGTGAGAAAAATGAATTTTCCCACCTCTCCTTTTGTCCCCAAGAATGCAGTCAGGGTCCTACACTCCCAGCCCCTGAAACCTCGGCCCGCCTTTGCCATGAGGAAGCCCAGCTTCAGGGGTACCTGGCTCAGCTCCACAGCCGCCTCTTTTCATCTCCCCACCTTACAGGCCACATTAAGCAGTCCAGTGGCCCAGCTACCTCAGACTCAGTATTTTAGGAAAAGGTGACTCAGCTGACAGCCTGTCAACCTGGGTACTGGGCCATTCAACCTCAGGCCCTGTCCAAGAACCAGCCCTTCCTTGTTCCTAACGATGACCCCTCTCTGGACCACTGCGCTTACAAAGCACTTCCTCACCCAGGACTGGTGAGCAGACTTTCACGCTCGTCATCTCTCCATATAAGAGTGTGACACCAGCAGGCCCTCCAAAGACCCCAAATCTGCTCCCATCCTCCATGACCATGTGTCCTGCTTCCAGGAGCCTGTCTGCGTGCCTGACACGCATCTATCCTCTTGCTGCTAGCCATGGTCAGACTCCCAGAAGCCCAGGTTCAAACCTGAGCCCTGCCCTGACATGCTGGGTGGCCCCATGCAAGGCTCTGGCCCTGTGAAGGTTGGCCTGGTTCTCTTTGAGGACTCAAGCGGCTCGGGTGGAGGAAGGCAGGATCCAGGTAGGCCTAGCGGGGCAGAAGGCAGCTCTCTGGGGCAGGCAGGCCTGCCCGGGCATGCCAGGCCCAAGGACTGTGAGCGAGGGCCAGATCCCGACGTGGGGGCTCCTCAAGAGGCAGTGTGTGTGGCTCAGTCTCTCCATGACTTGAGGTGGAGCCCATGGACTAAAAGAGGGTTCCACCATCCAAGGGGCCCTGCCCGGGGACAGTCCAAGAAGGGCCCAGGAGGAAGTTGACATCTCTGCGGGTTCTGTGTCCAGCTAGAGCCCATCCGCAGTGGGCACAGCCCCGGAGAGGGCACAGCTGTGAGCCACCGTTAGTTAGCCCTGGTGTGTGCATGTGTGTAAGGTCCTGCATGCAGGTCTGTGAGCATGATGTGGGTGAAGGCGGAGCACAGTTTTGTAAGTTTGTATCTTTGTAAGGATGTGTGATGCTTTCATTGTACAGCTGAGCTTGTGCGTGTGTACACAGATGTGTGCGTATCTACAGGAATGTGCATATGTGTGTGTGCAGACAGTATGTGTGCCCAGGTGTGAGTGTGTATGCACACATGTAAGTATGTGTATACAATTGTGTGTGTGCACAAGAGTCCAAGTATGGCACATAGATGCAGATGTGAGAGTCTGCATGTACTCAAATTCACAACTAACAGAGGTGCTGCTAACGGCCACTAGCCCCGGTCAGCTCTGTGTGTCCGCTGGCATTGGCTCCAGATGTGGCAGTGGCCCTTACAGAGAAAGAATCTGGCCGCAGGCAGGTGTTGGGGACAATGTGGATTTGGGCTCTGAGTGGGCAGGGCCTGCTCCCAGAACCCCCGCAGCAGCTCTAACCGGGAAAGAGCACAGGCTGAGTGAGCTCAGGCTCAAGGGATGAGGGGAGAGGGGTGGGTCAACCACAGGTCTCCTCCATTTCCATGTTATTTGCATACACATTTATCTTGTCTGCAGCAGATGGCCAGCTGCACGACCCTAGCGGGGGAAGGCAGCCCGGAGGATTCTATTCCAGGACTAGTCCAGGACCTGCCAGCTCACATCGGGGCTGAGGTCCAGGGGACTCGGGCCTTGGCACACCTTGGCATCTGCTCCTTATCCTCTGCAAACCCCAAGAGCCTTCTGTCACACAAGGCTGCTGCAGGCCACACACAATCATCCAGACACTCACTGTCTTTCCGTAGATACACACACACACTCCCATCACTCCTACACACACACACATACTCCTACACACAGACTCACATCCCCATACGCCTGCTCACAGAGCTCCTGCACATAGAACACTGGTGGGCACACCTGCCCTAGTACCTCCTTCAGGGACCACTGTGTCTCCTTCTCCCCGATGCCCGTACCTGATGGAGTAATCTTTTCTTCACTCAAGTCTGACCCTGCCTCACCCATACCCACACGGGTCCCCACTGCCCGCAGGGTAAAGTTGGAGCTCCAGTCCTGGCCTTCTTCGTCCTTAACCCCGCCTCCAAACCATCCTTTCAGGCCCCACACTCTGCCTTCTGGCCACACCCCTCACTGCTCACCAATCCTCCAGCAGCACTTCTGTACTCTTACCAGGCACTCGACCTCCCCACTGTGCTGTCAGCTCGAGGGGACTGGACTCTTTTCCCGTTTTGCTCATTGCTGTGGCCCCAGCACCTAGAACAAGGCTTGACCCAGAGGAATTGCTCCAGAAGACATCTGTGGACTATAGGAATCGGTGGTAGAACCGTCCTTCCAACCTGATCTGCCTCCTTATGGAGGACCTGCCCAACTGTATTTGTTTCCCTGTGTGCCTCCCCCATCAGACCCAAAAGAGACTGGGTCTGATTCAGCTCCATGTGTCCGTATGCAGCATACCCAGCATGGGGCCAGGCACACACAGCAGGAGTGGGGGACGGGGGGGGGCAGATGGTGACCCCCTAAACGAGACACAGGGATGTCTAGAAGGGGCGGCCACCTTGGCCAATCACACAAAGCCCACCTTTCCCAGAGAAGAGGCCTCCTGACCACCTTCCCCCATCTGAGCCCCTTGCTGAAGTCACCCTGACTGGCAATCCAGCCTCTGCTTGCACACTCCCGGGGACAGGGAGCTCACTTTCTTTGCAGCCAACCCCCTCCCGTGGGAGCTGGCTCTGCCTGGTGCCAACTCCTCCCACAGCACCGTCCTGTCAAATCCTGATCATCCCAAGCCATGATTCCCATGGGGAATGGGAAGGAAGTTGAGCAAAAGGAGCAGCAGATCCCAGCTTTCCCAACAGCTCCACCAGCCTTCCCAGCTTTGGGCAGAGGTGGGAGAAGGAGCTCTTGGCTCTCAGCCCGCCCCAGGCTTCTATAGGC